CTGTACAGAACCAATATAAAAGACTCAAAGGGGTAATAAATTCGTAACACGGATTTTTGGCAGGGTATACGGGATGGTATGGGTCGTTTAATATCCTCACGTCACGTTTTGATATCACAATATAAAAGTTTAATATCATATCAGGTTTTAATATCACAGTATTAAGGTTAAATATCATCACATCAAGTTTTAATACATTGTATAACAACATCAAGGTTTAACACTTACGAAGAGTTGCTTTTACAGCGCTATAGTCGCTGGTCATGTGTATCCACACCTTCGTAACCGCTCCAATAGTCGTCACCGAGATATTCTCCTCAATGTCTGCTAAACCTGTTAATGCCTCCACACCTTCATGGTAAATCATAAACAGAGTGAACCTTCATCACAGTGAAATATATTTTGTTATGTTACTGTATCTCACTGTATTACTTATTAGAGATGACGATTGTTTCCTCGCTACATTACTGCAATTATTATTTGAGGCGACTAAGGTGGACCCTCGACCAAACTCCATAATGATAAGAAGTGAATTATTTGTACTCTTTTATATCATTGGATGGTCTATTGAAGGAGAGTTAATTGTATAACAGTAGAACCCTGAATTATTATATACATGTACGTTTTCCGCATATGAAACATTGATTCAATTGGAAACGGTGTACCTCATATTTTAGTCGGTTTCATGATCTTGCACGATAAAGCAAAACACGAACACCATGAGTTAATTTCACACTGAATCACAAACATGTTTCTTCTCATATTACCTGTGACAAAGTCCATAGCGAACTCAATCATTTTTTGAAATGGCTCTCCTTTCATGCTGGCGGAGGTGTCTAAACACAAAACGGTGTCTGGTCCCCTTCCCCGGGCTAGTCCACTAACTGATCCTGAAATCAGCATTAAAATAGCACATTTTATGATATTTGGATATACATGTATACTTTATAGACAATTTCCTATATATCTTATAATAGTGATGTGATAATTATAAATTTGATTCATACCTATAACTTTTTCTGTTTCGGCGTAGTTAAACCATTTTTGAAAGACGTGGAGAGCTACGAAGCTGTCGTTTCCGAGCCCAGGCTTTTTTCTCTCGTCGCATTCATCTAATCCTGTGGGGAAAATGTTCTTAATGTAATCGAATTTCCAGGGTAATCTTTTCTGTGACATTTTAATATTAATAGATGCAAAATAAAAGAAAGTAAAAAGTAACAATGGCGGTATTGTACTTAAGCTTAAATTTAAAAGTTAACGAGAACTCCACCAATGTTTTATCTGAGTAAATGGTAATTTACTAGTGCTTCAGTTTTAAAGTTGAAGAAAACTTCACCAATGTTTTATTTAAGTAAATGGTTATTTACCTGCGCTTACGTTTGATCAATTATTATTTACCTGGCATCGTTGACGTTTCCGTTGACAACAACCCAGACAGACTGGAATAGAAGGATGCTGTGTAAAATGTACTCATTAACATTTAAGTAAAACTATCCACCACTCAAAAAAATACCGAACAGTCATAAAACCATAATGCGAACTCAAAACTGATAATACTGTAGCAAATTTAATAGGAGCAAAGAAACCACTTACATGGAGATATTTCAACACACACAAGGCGAGAAAGTGCTTCGAAAGGGTTAACTAGCGTGTTATTTAAACTAATGATATTCCTAGGTCCTACTTAAAGAGTCATCACGGTGAAGTAACTGTATTTTTTGTCTTTTTTTCAAATACTACATAAACATATCAAGTGA